AATTCATTAATAAATTTTTCTCTATTTCGTAAACAAGAACAACAAAATATTTGACGTTTGACCTAAAATTTCTCGATAAATAGTGCGTTTTTTTTCTGGCTGTAATTTGATTGATACGCAAAAAGAAAAAAACGAAGGGAAGGTGAAAATCAATATTTGTGACGTAAACAATTTCCAATTGTATAAAATATACGTTTTGAGAAGAATGCAGTGGAAATTATACGGCACGATGCCAACAGTTTGACATCGACAAAAATAAAAGAAGAGGAAAATCTTATTCTTTAACAAAAGAACACGTGTAAATCAATAATAAGACTCTGTCGAAAACTGTATAAAGAAACGTCATAGAGTAAAAAGAAAAAATATTAATTAAAAATAATGAAAATAGAAATAAAAAATAAAATTAATAATTATTAATTTTATTTTTTAATAAAAATATTAATATTTATATTTAATATTTATTAATATTTATTTTTTTTAATAATTATTAATTTCATTTTCTATTTCTATTTTCATTATTTTTAATTAATATTTTTTGTTTTTACTAACTAATGGAAATTTATTATTTTTATTTATTACAAATAATAATAAATAAAAGTTAACTGAATAATAATTATAAATAAAAAATCGAGAAATCTTGTATTACAAGCAAAACAATTTAATTAAAAAATTTTCCTAATTTACAAATATTTTTTTCAAAATTTATCGTAAAAGTGAATTTTTAGAAGAATTATTATGCAAATATAAATCATTGATAAATTAACAATTAATATACTTCACAAGTTGACTATTTCTTGTTAATATTCATTAATATACAGCTAATTAATATGAAACATTAAAAGTTGTCTCGTGTATAAAATAATAATTTACTGGTTCATTTGTAAAATTAAAATAATTATCATTATGTAACATCGTTTTCAAATTGAATCAATAATTCCATATCAGTTACAGCGTAAATTACGTCATACGAACGTGACTATATTCATTTCCTGGTGTCATAAATTTATTCCAAATGGAATATTAATTAGAAAATATCATTAAAATATTAGTTTATAGAAAAAAAAGAAAATAATTGTAATTTTAATAGATATTTTTTTAAAACACTTAAAATTCGTCAATAATAATAATTATTTTTTTTCAAATCTTTATAAATATTTTTTTTATATGTATTAGAATAAAAAAAGAAATCAATACTTTCCTGGAAGCCTCCCAATCGGTGCAGATAATCGACCCTTCTCCTCTCATGTTAAGAATCTCGTTTAATGGATGAGCGTTGATTACGATCAAATATTCAATTTTACTTTTTTCTCTCGAGATTTTCACATTTTAATGAATGGAAGTTTTTTTTCTCTTTGTAACATAAAATGTTTTAAATGCAAAAATAATTGAGAAATATTTTTATAATTTTTACCTATTAATTATTTAATAATTAATAATTTTATTTATTATTTAATAATTAATAATTTTATTCATTATTTAATTCATATAAATTTGTTACATTTTTAAATAAAAATATAATTCAACCAGAAAAAAGATATTAATTGATTCAGAGCCAATTGGACTTTTTATTTGTTTCAAATAAATTTAATTTGCTTGAAATAAAAATGTTATTTGTTTTGCATAAAATATTTATTTCTGTCGAATAAAATTGTTATTTAAAACCATTAAAAAAAACCTTTTACAATTAAAATAAAAATAAAAAAATATTTGTGTTTTAGAAATATTTTTAAATTTGTTAAATATTATTTTAACAATTTATAATTGTAACAAAAAATTTTATAAAAGAAATTTATAAAAAATATTTGAAAAAAAATATTTTACATTTACATCGAAATATTATTCCACGGATATAATAATTTCGAGAAAAAATTTTCTAGAAACAAGAAGTAATCAACGTTTCAAAGTTGAAGGGGATTTTTTGGAGCGTAAAAATACGGGAAAATAAAAATGAACTAATAAAAAATAAGCTTTAAAAACCGCAAGTAGAAATAAAAGTTTGAATTTTGCAGTTTTCTTTTTTGTTCCTTCTTATTTGTCAATTATACATTTTTTTGTACAAATTCAAAGAAAAACAGTTACATCATTGTTTATAATATAAATATTTTAATCACTATTTAATGTAATAAAATTTTATCATTTTGGTCTTTTTTTCTTCTCTATTTCTTTTTCTTTCTCGATAAAATTGTCTTTTTTTAAATTTTAATACCATTCGTTGGGTTAATTTATACAATTTATTTTCTATTGTTTGTTAAATGTTATTTATTTTAACAATGAAAATAAAGTACGATACCACGAAGAGTATGCAAATATTGCAAATATAACGTTTTGCGCATTTGTTAAATTTTCATATTGTGTTTGTAAAATTATTTATTTACTAATTTCACATTTGTGACTTTTGTCATATTGAATTCTTTTGTTTATTTGGCAATTTCGAATTTACATTTTCATCCAAAATGCAAATTCTATTTTTTATTTTTGTTACTACAATTATTAAATTTTCCCTTTATTGTTCGAAATTCAAAACAAGACCTATTTTTAATAAATTTTTTAAAAATTTTATTATTTGGTTTTTAATATTAAATTATTATTGTAATTACTCATTAGTCAATAATATTATTCTTGTTTGATAATAATTATTATTGAACAATAATGAAAATGGGTTTATTTATTATTAGTTAACTAATAATTGTTAAAGTAACTTAAATTTTTTTTAAATTAACTTAACTAATTGTTAAATAATAGAACCGTTTGTTAATTAGCACAGCTATTTGTTAATTAACTTAGGTCATTGACTAATTGTTAAATAAACTTGCTAATTTTTAGATAAATTAGCAGATTATTAATTGTAAACTCAGCTAATTTTTAATTAACTTAACTAATTGTTAAGTAAACTATTCAATTGTTAATTAAACTGTCCAATTGTTAACTAAATTAACTAATTATTAATTTTTCACACAGTTAATTGTTAAATAAATTAGTTAACTGTTAATTATCTTTACTAATTTTTATGTTATCTAGCTAATTGTTAAATAAATTAGCCAATTTTTAAGTTAATTAACAAATTATTGTTAATTTTTTATTTAGCTAATTGTTAATTAAATTAACTAACTTAAAAAATTATTAAATAGTATTGCCAATTGTTCAGAAATTAAATTTAGCTAAATGTTAAATGTTAAGTAAATTTGCTTAATGTTAATTTTCTATTTAGTTAATTGTTAATTGAATTAAATAACTTAAAAAATTGTTAAGTAAATTGACTAATTATTAATTGTTAACTCACCTGATTATTAAGTAAATTAGCTAATTGTTAATTATCTTTATTAAATGTTTAGTAAAGTTGCCAATTGTTAAGTAAATTAACAAGCTAATTGTTAAGTTAATTAAATTATTAATTTTTAACACAGCTATTTGTTAATTATCTTCACCAATTGTTAAATAAAGTAACTAATTATTAATCGTCAACTCAGCTGATTATTAAGTAAATTAGCTAATTGTTAAGTAAACTGGCCTATTGTTAACTAGATTAACTAATTATTAATTGTTAACACAGTAATTGTTAAATACATTAGTTAACTGTTTATTATTTTTATCAATTTTTTATGATATCTAGCTAATTGTTAAATAAATTAGCCAATTTTTAAGTTAATTAACTAATTATTAGTTGTTACCACAGCTAATTATTTATTAACTTAACTAATTGTTCAGTAAATTAGCTGATTGTTAATTATCTTTATTAATTGATTAGTAAAGTTTCCAATTTTTAAGTTAATTGACAAGTTAATTGTTAAGTTAGTTAACAAATCAATTATTAAGTTAATTAAATTATTAATTGTTAACACAGCTAATTGTTAATAAACTTAGCTAAATGTTAATTGTTAAGTAAATTTGCTTATTGTTAATTTTTTATATATAGCTAATTGTTAATTAAATTAACTAACTTAAGAAATTGTTAAATAATCTTGCCAATTGTTAAGTAAATTAACTAATTATAAATTATTATCACAGCTAATTGTCAACTAAGTTGACGAATTGTTAAGTATATTAGTTAATTATTAATTAATTAACTAATTAGTAATTGTTAACTTACCTGATTATTAAGTAATCTAGCTAATTGTTAATTATCTTTATTAAATGTTTAGTTAAATTGCCAATTGTTAAGAAAATTAACAAGCCAATTGTTAAGTTAATTAAATTATTAATTGTTAACACAGATAATTATTAATAAACTTAGCTAAATGTTAATTATTAAGTAAATTTGCTTATTGTTAATTTTTTATTTAGCTAATTGTAAATTAAATTAACTAACTTAAGAAATTGTTAAATAATCTTGACAATTGTTAAGTAAATTAAGTAATTGCTTATTGTTAATTTTTTATTTAGATAATTGTAAATTAAATTAACTAACTTAAGAAATTGTTAAATAATCTTGACAATTGTTAAGTAAATTAACTAATTATTAATTATTATCACAGCTAATTGTTAATTATCTTTACCAATTGTTAAGTAAATTAACTAATTTTTAATTGTTAACACAGATAATTGTAAACTAATTTGACGAATTGTTGAGTAAATTAGTTAATTGTTAATTACTTTTAGCAATTGTTAAGTTAATTAACTAATTATTAATTATTAACTCACCTGAATATTAAGTAAATTAGCTAATTGTTAATTATTGTTATTAATTGTTTAGTAAGCTTGCCACTTGTTGAGTTAATTAAATTATTTATCGTTGCCACAACTATTTGTTAATTAACTCGACTAATTTTAAAGTAAATTAGCTAATTGTTAATTATCCTTACTAACTGTTAAGTAAACCAGCTAATTATGAAATAACAAAAATAATTGTTGATCAACTTATTTATTTTGCCCAATTATTAAACTAATTAGATGAAAAGTTAATTAAATTAATAGTATTTTTATTAGGCATTCAGTGAAACGGTGAAAGAATAAAAAAAAAAGAAATTACTGAATTATTATTTCTTCGAATACGTCTTTTGCAGAAGTGTTTCAAGGGTATCGACAAAGCGATAATTCTCTCCCACATCCGTGCTATCGATGTACATCCATGGATTATGGTTGGTACGCACCCACTGTCCACACAGTGCCGGCAAATTATTATCCTCGCAACAATTTCTTCAGTAGTGAATTAAGTCGGGCAGGAATGTACCGTAATCGCTCTCTCAACACCGAATTGGATAAGACACTCTTCTAAATTGCAATTTTTTTTTCCCCTCTTTGGCAAATTATCCTTTTTCTTGTTCTGAAAGAAATAATTGTCAATAATAATTTTAATGAAGAAAATGTACATTGAAAGAAGAAATTTATTTGACTCAAGTAAACCGTTTATTTGCTTATTCTTAAATAAATATTTACTTAAATCGAATAATTTCTATTTTAATCAAATAAATTCTAATTACAACAAATAATTTTTATTTCAATCAAATAAATTCTAATTGACTCAAATAGTTTTTATTTAAATCGAATAATTTTTATTTACATCAAATAAATTTTAATTACTTCAAATTATTTCTATTTAAATCAAGTGAATTCTAATTATTTCAAATAATTTTTATTTACATCAAATAACTTCTCATTACTTCAAATAATTTTTATTTACATCAAATAACTTCTCATTACTTCAAATAATTTTTATTTACATCAAATAACTTCTAATTACTTCAAATAATTTCTATTTAAAATTTAAATAAATTCCGATTACTTAAATTAATTTTTATTTAAATTAAATAAATTCCGACTATTTAAATTAGTTTTTATTTACATCAATTGAATGGTGTTTATCTCAAAGACTGAAATTATTGTTTCAAATTTATTTGATTTAAATAAAATTTATTTGATTCAAGTAAATATTTATTAAACAATAGACAAGTGAACTTTTATTGAATTCAAGTAAATTTTTTCGTAGGGAAAAGTAGGGAAATAATGGAGAAAAATGGAATTAATTTATTAAAAATTAAATAGAGAAATTGTTTAAAAATCATGTAAATTAAACAAGTTAACTGTCACTTACTCACTTGACGGAAATATTATATTATACCATATTTTATTATTGTAATATATTATTTATTATATTATTGCATTACCCATGTAATTGTATTTTTAATATAATAAACAAAAGAAAAAGAAAATATTTTTCCTTATTATGAATATTTGAAAATTTAATTTTTTCCTAATAAAATTTATTTTTGTATGTACATAGGTATACGAATTTATTTGAAATAGAGGTGTAAAGAAGAGGTGTCTAACTGAAACAAAGTTTTAACACTGATAAACTAAATTAATAAGCTTTCGTAAAGTTTTGAGTGACTGAAACTGACATCCACTATACTGATACTAAAATTACGTAAATTGGTGAAAGTATTTTATTAAAAATTTATTAGGAGAGTATGAATAAATTTTTTTTTTTATTAATATGAATAAAATTAGTTGGGAATTAAAAGAATAGAAATAATAATTAGTGGGAACTGATTATAATTTAGTGTAAAGAAAATTTTATTGTCTGATCAAAAATCAACTTCACTACTGATTAATATCAGTAATTCTATTATTAAAAAATAATTGAATTTTAAAATAAATGTCTGACTAAAATGATACTTTTACTACTTAAATTTATTTTCTTAATAATGAACAATAGTTTTTTACAATTGTCTGATTATAAATACTTTTACTACTTAAATTTCTTTCTTTTTAGTACTGAACAACAACTTTTCTTAAATTGTTTAACAAAAAAATAATTTAAAAACTTAATATTTTTTCCTTACTACTGAATTATAATTTATTACAACTGTCTGTCTGTAAATACTTTTACTACTTAAATTTCATTCTTTTACTAATGAATAATAAGTTTTAACAACTGTCTGACTATAAATATTTTTACTACTTAATTAAATATCTTTTACTACTTACTTTTATATCTTTTACTACTGAACAATAGTTTTTTAATATTGTCTGACTAAGAGATATTTTAACTACTTAATATTTTTTTCTTACAACTTAATAATAATTTTTTTATCATTGTCCGACTATAAATACTTTTACTACCTAAATTTCTTTTTCATGCTGCTAAATAATAATTTTAAGTCTGAGAAGATAATTTTACTACTTAAATTTCTGTTTTTTTTAAATTTTTCTAGTACTGAATAACAATTTTAAATTATTGCCTGACTAAAAAATATTTTAACTACTTAATTTTCTTATTTTGACTACTAAATAACAAATTTTTAACAGTTGTCTGACTAGTAACATTTTTACTACTAAATTTTTTTTTTTTACATAATTACAGTTTTTTTACAATTGTCTGACTATAAATACTTTTAGTACTTAATATACTTGTTTTACTTTATTAAAAAATAATTTTAAGTTGAACTGAAAATATATCGTTACTACTTTAATTAGTAGTTTTTACTACAAAACAATAATTTTTTTTTCACTTGGCTGACTAAAAATACTATTACTACTTAATTTTCTTTCTTTTAATACTGAACATAATAATTTCAAGTCTGACTAAAAAGATAGTTCTACTACTTAAATTTCGTTTGTGTCTTGACTTTTTTTTACTACTGAAAAATAATTTCAAATTATTGTCTGACTAAAAATTATTTTAACTACTTAATTTTTTCGTTTTAACCACGGAAAAATAATACTTAACAGTTGTCATACTAATAATACTTTTACTACTTAGTTTTATTGTTTTTATCAAGGAATAATAATTTTTAATAACTGTCTTGCTAAGAAACACTATTACTACTTAATTTTATTTCTTTTACTACTGAATAATAATGTTTTACATTTGTCTGACTATAAATACTTTTACTACTTAATTTTCTTGTTTTTTCTATTTAGTATTATTTTTAAGTTGGGCTGAAAAAATGTTTTTACTGATGGAATTTCCTTCTTTTATAACTGTATAATAATTTTTTAAAACAAAATATATTTTTTTTCAGAAAAAATATTTCAACTAATTAATTTTTTTCTTACTACTGAATAATTATTTTTAAGAATTTTCGGATGAAAAATACTTTCCCTTCTTAATTTTCTTTCTTCTTCTGCTAAATTTCAATTTTCAATGAATTTTATTAGAAATTTTAAAGATTACTCAATTATTTTAAAAATTTTTAATAAAATTCTTGGCAAAATTCAATTTTATAAAAATTTTTAATAAAATTTTTGGAAAAATTTCAATTATTTTCAAAAGTTTTTCTCAATTTCATATGAATTCTATTATTTACAAATTTTTAAAATAAATTTCAACGCAATAATTTAATTATTTTCAATAAATAATAAAAAATTTTACAGGGATTCAATTATTTTTATAAATAATAAAATTCTTTTTAAGAATTCAATTATTTTCATAAATAAAACTCATCGCAGAATTTCAATTATTTTTAATACAATTTTAATCGAATTCTTTGAAAAATGTAATTATACTTAAAAATTTTATTATAAAAATTAAAATTCGTCAAAAGAATTCAATTCTTTAAAAATTTGTTGATAAAATTTTTTATGATAATTCAACTTTTAAGAAATATTTAATTATTCAATAAATTATTTTTTTTATTTAAATAATTGAATTCTCGTAGAATTTTCTAATAAAAATTGATTTAAAAATGAATTTCAGTTACAATTTTCGATTTGAATATTTATTATTCAAATTATTTAAATATTTAAATAATATTTGAATATTAAAAGCATTATAGTATGAATTTTAAGAAATAATTGAATTTTGAAAAGGTTTCAAATTAAATTCTTTAAAAATCTTAATTTTGCATACTTGTAACCAACAATTCTGTAGAATTAATTATTTTGAAAAAGTTTAATTGAATTTTTTTCTGAAATTATTTAAAGTGTTTATTTTTTAATACATAATTAATTGAAGAATTTCTGAATAATTAAAATTTCGTAAAATTGAATTGTAAACAAATGGATTTGAAAATTCTCAAAGAACTTTTTCAAAAATTATTAAAGATAATTGATTTAAAGAAGAATTTTATTTAAAAATTCTAGAAAATAATAATTGAATTAAAATGGTGAAAATAATTTTGACAAAATTAAAGTAAAAATATTTCTATTATATAAAATAATGATCTTATCACTCGGTTATCTTTAATTTATTATAAAAAATGATAACTTTATAATAAACTTTATAATCGTAAACTTTATAATTTTAATTTTATAATCGTTTTATAATAAATATTCTTATAAGTTGTTAAATTTCAAAAATGATTAAATATTTATTTAGAAAAGAAGTTATTGATGTTTTCGAATAATTTTACAATCGTTTTTAACAAATAGAAATTTTGTAAATATTTTTTCCAAAATAAATTTAAAATTTCTTAAACTAAATTTGATTTATTACATTTTTTTTTACTTAAAACTTGTACTTTTGTTTATGAATTGTAATTGAGAAGCAGAAAATGTGCAAAATATTTTCTACTTTATAATTTTAATTTCCCAACAATTTTTTAATTTTTTTTTAGAAAAGAGGAAAAAATAGCTGCATAATTTCGATTTGTCAAACAATTAAGTTTCTCATATTAAAAAAAGGATAATATTTTGCAGGATTTACATTTGTTAATTACCTAAAACGTTTGTTACAAAATGCTAATTTTTTTATAAACAAAGAAATAATGAATAATAATATTAATAATTTTTTTAGATTAATAAAAATATTTTTGAATTATTTGAAAAATAAAGATAATATTATTAAATTAAAAAAATAGTAAAAAAATAAAGAAGTAGATACGACGATTATAATAATAGTTAATTATATTATTATATTATTATTATTATTATTATTATTATTATTATTATTATTATTATTTAATTATATTATTATTATTATTATTATTATTATTATTATTATTATTATTATTATTATTATTATTATTATTATTATTATTATTATTATTATTATTACTATTATTATTATTATTATATAATAATTATAATAATTATTATATAATAATAATAGTTAATTTTCTAATTTCTATTTCTGTTACTGAATTCTAGTTCTAAACAATTAGCAGTAATTTGTTTAAATTAAATTGTTTAAGTTTAAACTTTAAAGTAATGACTAAAAAATACTTTTACTACTGAATTATTTTTCAATATTTTTCTCGTCTGACTAAAATTTCCCTCTACTACTATAGTATTTAAAATAAAATTTTCTTTTTTAATACAGAAATATTGGGAAAAAAATGATTTTTTAC